TCCTGTGGTAGACTGATTGCCATTTTCCTGAGGAACCGCAATACTGATCTCCAAAATGGCTGTACAAGTTTGCACTCCCACCAGTAGTGATATGTTCTTGGATTTGATTTGCAAGTATTTTATTGAGTATTTTTGCATCAATGTTCATGATGGATATTGGTGTGTAGTTCTCTTTCTTAGTTATGTCTTTGTGTGGCTTGGGAACCAAGGTAATTGTGGCCTCAGAAAAAAGAGTTTGGTAATGAAACTTCTGCTTCTATTGTGTAGAACAATTTGAGGAATATTGATGTCAGCTCTTTTTTGAATTTCTGGTAAAATTATGCACTGAAGCCACCTGGCCCTTGGCTTTTTTTTGGTTGGGAGGCTTTTGATGACTGCTTTTATTTCCTTTGGGGTTATAGATCTATTCAAGTTGCTTACCTGTTGTGATTTAATTTTGGTAAGTGATAGTTATCCAGAAATTTGTCCATTTCCTTTGAATTTTCAATTTTTGTGGAGTACAGTTTTTCAAAGTATGACCTGAAAATTGTCTGGATTTCCTCAGTGCCTGTTGTTATGTCTCCCTTTTTGTTTCTGATTTTGTTGATTTGCATGTTCTTTTTCATGCTTTTTGGTTAGTTTGGATAAAGGTTTGTCTATCTTGTTGATTTTCTCAAAAAACCAACTCTTTGTTACATTGATTTTTTTGTATTGTTTTCCTTGTTTCTACTTTATTGATTTCAAATTGATATTTTCTGGCATCTAGTACTCTGGGGTGAGTTTGCTTCTTTTTGTTCTAAGGCTTTCATTTGTGCTGTTAATTCTCTAATGTGTCTATCCTCTGTTTTCTTTATATGGGCACTTAGTGCAATGAACTTTCCTCATAGCACTGCTTTCAAAGTGCCCCATAAGTTCGGATATGTTGTGTCCTCATTCTTGTTGAAATTTAGAAAGTCTTTAATTTCTTTCTTTATTTCTTCTTTGACCCTGGCATGATGCAATTGAGCATTGTTCAGTTTCTGTGAGTTTGTATGGTTTCTGCAATTTTGTTGTTGTTGAATTCCACCTTTAAAGCATGGTGGTCTGATAATATACAAGGGACTATTCCATTTTTTTTTTTTTTGTACTGTTGAGGTTTGTTATGTTGCATAATATGTGTTTTGATTTTAGAGAAGTTTCCATGTGGAGCTGAGAAGAAGGTATATTCTTTCATGTTTGGATGAAATGTTCTATAGATATCTGTTAAACATAGCTTCTGTTAGTTCTTTTGTTTCTTTGTTAAGTTTCTGTCTGATGGTCCTGTCTAGTGGTGAGAACAGGGTGTTGAAGTCTCCCACTATAAGTGTGTGAGGCTTTATGTAAGGTTTGAGTTTTAGTAGCATTTCCTTTACGAATGTGGGTGCCTTTGTATTTGGGGCATAGATGTTCAGAATTGAGAATTGTACTGATGGATTTCTCCTGTGATAAATATGAAATAATCTTCTTCATCTCTTTTGATTGATTTTGGTTTGAAGGCTAACTTGTTAGATATTAGGATAGCTACACCTGCTTGTTTCTTGGGTCCATTTGATTGGAAGATCTTTTCCAACCCTTTACCCTGAGGGAATGTCTATCTATGAAGCTTAAATGTGTTTCTTGTATGCAGCAGAAGGATGGATTCTGCCTTCATATTCATTCTGTTAGTGTGTGTCTTTTTATAGGCAGGTTAAGACCATTAATGTTGAAGGAGAGTAAGGACCATTGATTGCTAATTCTTGTATGTTTTAGATTTGTTGTTGTTGGTGGTATTGTGAATATATTTGTCCTGCTTTATATTTTGGTGAAGTGGGAGTATCTATTGCCTATGTCTTTGTGAGTGTAGTTAACTTCCTTGGGTTGAGTTTTCCTTCCAAAACTTCGGTAGGGCTGGATTTGTAGATATGTATTGGGAAAATCTGGCTTTGTCATTAAATATCTTGTTTTCTTCATCTATAATGATTCAGAGTTTTCCTGTGTATGGTAGCCTGGGCTGCCATCCTTGGACTCTTAGTACTTATAGAACATCTATCCAGAACCTTCTGGCCTTGAGAATTTCCATGGAGAAGTCAGGCATAATTTTGATAGGTCTGACTTTATATGTTACCCGGCCTTTTTCCTTCGCTGCTTTTAATATTCTTTCTTTATTCTATATGTTAGGTGATGTTAGGAGTCTTTTTTCTTTGGTCCAGTCTATTTAGTGTTTGGTATGCTTCTTGTACTTTCATAGGCATGTCTTTCTTCAGATTGGGAAAGTTTTCTTCAATGATTTCTTTGAATATGTTTTCTGCACCTTTGAGCTGGGCTTCTTGGCCTTCTTCAATGCCTATTATTCTTAGCTTTGACCATTTCACAGTGTCCCACATTTCGTGGATGTGTTGTGTTAAGGATTTGTTGGATTTAAGATTTTCTTTGGTCGATGAATCTATTTCCTTTAGTTTATCTTCAGCGCCAGAGATTCTCTCTTTCATCTCTTGTATTATGTTGGTTATGCCTTGCATCTGTAGTTCTTGATCGTTTGCCTAGTTTTTCTATTTCCAGCAGTCCCTCAGTTTGTCTTTCCTTATTATATCTATTTCAATTTTCAAATCTTGAAATGTTTCCTTCATCTGTTTGATTGTTTTTTCTTGGCTTCCCTTACTTTCACTAAGAGATTTGTTCATTTCTTCCAATTTTTTTGCTTGTTTTTTTCTTCCATTTCTTCAATGGATTTTCTCATATCGTCTTTGAGAGCCTCCATCATTTTTATGAAGTTACTTTTTAAGTTGTTTTCTTCTGCTTCATATGCCTTGGTGTGTTTTAGTCTAGTTGGTGTAGAGTCCCTTGATTCTGGTGGTGTCATGCTTGTCTTTCTATTGTTGGGTATTTTCTTGTATTGCCCTCTTCCCATCACTTCTTCCAGTGGGTGCAGGTGGAGTTTCTTTCTACTCTACTCTCCTGATGGGCGTAGTTTGATCAGGAGTTTGATGTCTATAACTCTGGGTGGCCCAAGCTCTCTCAGAGGTCTCTCCAGCAGAATCTGGGCAATGGGTGTCAAAGACCAGGCAGGTGGGACTCAGTGTGGTCTGCGTGGATATGCTAGTCCAGTGTGCTCAGAGCAGATCCAGAAGTTCCCCGGAGGTGGAGGGGTTGTTGGACCTGCACTCTGGCCCAGTGCTCAACCAGAGCAGCCGGCCCAGTAGGACACAGGGTGTCAGGAGTGATACATTCTGTTAGCTAAAGAAAGTTGCCTTTTGGATTCTTACAGAGAAGTGTGTTGGCAAATGTGGTCAGCATACTCCTTATGAAATTTCAGTGACATTTTAGTTTTAGAGTGACATGACAGATGGTGAATTGTGACTATATTTTAATTATGTTCACAGACGTGTCATGGAAAGCAGGACATGTAGACTATAGCGAGTCAGTAGAGAGTGGAATAGTGAAACAATCTTAAAGTTTTAAAAAATTTTATATTATATTTTGTTAACCCCTTCTGTCCCACCCCCAACCCACCCAACCCAATCCCTCATGGTCCACAAAACAATCTTTTGAAACAGAACTTCCGAGTGTTGGATAAGTGTGAAGTATTTATGGAAAGGATGTCTCCGGTCTTCTTGTCTTACTCTCCATTGGCAAAGTATCATGGGTTGAAGTAAATTATATTGCAGAGCTGTATGTTTGTTTATTATAGGTGACTATAAATATGTGTTCAGCCATACATATTTAATTGATGACTATATATATGTAATTTAACTAAGATTTTTTTTTTTTTGTCAGCAGAGCCAGACTTAGAAGTGGCATCAGGGGATGACCAAAACAAATGTTATAGCAGTGAAAGTAATCAATCATTGGTATGTAGATATTTAAGTCTAAATATCTCCTTCAATATTTTTCTCTTTTAAATATTGTATCATAGAACATGCAAGATTACCTTGTAAAATTTCTATATAAAATCTATAACATTTTAATACATAATTTTAAATAATTTAATTAGGAGTTTTAAGTTAAACTCATTTCAACCCAGCATAAGAAACTAGTAGTTATTATTAATCTTTTATCTACTCTTTAGTAGACAGTAGAATATAATAAAATTGGAGATAATGCAGTTCATACAGATGTGAAACACTATAACCATATATACTGTCTTAGTTAAGGTTTCAATTGCTGTGAGGAGAAACCATGAGCACAGTAACTCCTATAAAGTAAAAAAAAAAAATATTGTAAAAAAATTTAATCGGGGTGGCATACATTTTCAGAGGCTTTGTTGTCATCATGGTGCGACATAGTGGCATGCAGGCAATAGGAAGTGGTCTGACACAGAGCATAGCTTGAGCATAGGAAACTTCAAAGTCAACTCCCACAGCGACGTACTTCCACTAAGTCCACACCTCCTAATAATGCCACTTCCTATGAGCTTATGGGGGCTAATAACTTTCAAACTACCACATATACTTTGAATTAAAATATAATAAGTTTTCTTTTGTTTTGTTGTAAATAGACTTTTGTTGTTGTTGTTTTGAGAGAGGGTTTCTCTGTGTAGCCTTGGCTGTCCTAGAACTTTCTCTATAGACCATGGTGGTCTTTAACTTAGAGATCTGCCTGCTTCTACTTCCTGAGTGCATGGATTAAAGGCATTGATACCACCACCAAGCAATGTTACTAGATTTTGTCTCTATACAACATTTGCCAACTCTAGTTACTGCACTTTTTATATGGCAACTTCTGATAGACTTGCTCATTCTCTCTCTCTCGATTAAGTCTAAAGTCTACAAGTTTGAGATTTTAAAGATTGAGTCTAAAGTTTTGGAAAACCAGCTCCTATGATTTTGTGAGCACCTTTATTTTTTGACATTTCAGTTTCTAAATGAAAAAGGGATCAAAAAATAAAATGGGGGGCGATAATATCATAGCAGAGAATGGGGAAACCTTCATGTGTTATGATGCTCCAAAATGTGACATTTTTAAATTTGAGTTTTAACAAAAATGAATTCAAGTAAAAAAGATGCACTTGTGTCTTTTTGTTGAAGGTTGAAAAAACAAAGACACATGCAAGCATTGGAATAGACATAGCAGAATACCCCCATGAAGGTGCTGTTTTTACTGCAGCTGCTTCTACGGCTGCTGCTGCGGCTGCTGCTGCTGATGTTACTGCTTCTGCCATGGATGAACTAGTTCTACAAAGAAAATCTGGAGAAATCAATAACCAGAGAGTTCTTATTAAGGACAAAGCAACACATGACAGGTAAGAGCATGATACTTAATAGTAGATAATTGCTATTGTCCTATAAAAATTCTAATTTGGGATAATTTTTGTATGATAAGTTTACGCTTTTACTAGTGCATAAAATTATATTTGTTAAGGATTTTATTCAAAAGGTAATAATCAGGGTTGCCTTGGCTGGTTTTGTATGTCAGCTTGATACAACTAGAGTCATCAGAGAGGTAGGAGCTTCAGTTGAGGAAATGCCTGCTTGACATCAGCGGTAAGGCATTTTCTCAATTAGTGATTGGTGGGGGAGTGTCCAGCCCATGGTGGGTGGTACCATCCCTGGGCTGCTGCTCTTGGATGCTATAAGTAGGTGGCCTGAGCAAACCAGGGAAAGCAAGCCAGTAGGCAGCATCCATGACCTCTGCATCAGCTTTTGTTTCCAGGGGTTCCTGTCCTGACCTTTTTCAGTGATGAACAGCAATGTGAAAGTATAAGACAAATGAACTCTTTCTTCCCCGTCTTGCTTTGTGGTCATAGCATGTTTCATTGACGCAACAGAAACCTAACTAAGGCAGTTGTCAAACTTGAAGAAAAAGACATTCTCATAGATGGTTTGTAAATGAAATTGGTAAAGAAGTCTTGAGTAATTTCACAGTATGTATAAAAACTTGCTGTAGGCAATATATGAATGAGTGTGCTTCATTCAGTAAAACTTCATTTTACACAGGTTAAACACAGAACTCAGGGATGCCATGATTGAAGCTTGTCTATTGCTGTGATGAGACACTGTGACCAAAAGCAACTTCAAGAGGTTTATTTCACTCAAGATTCCATTTAACAGTTCATCATCAAAAACAGTCAGGGCAGGAACCTAGAGGCAGGAGCTGATGGAGAAGTGTGGTGTTTATTGGCTTGCTCCTCATGGCTTGCTCAGTCTGCTTTCTTATAGGACCCAGGACCACCAGCCTAGGGATGACACCACCCACAGTGAACTGGGACCTCCATACATATCAACCATTAATCAAGAAATGCCCCAGTGTTGCCTAAAGATACCCCAGTGGAGGTATATTGTTCAAATGAGGTTATTTCTAGATAAGTATACATTTGTGTCAATTTGACAAAACTCAGCCAACACACATCCAACACTTTTTTTTGGAGCATAAGCATCACACATAACACCTGAACAACAAAAATAGAAGCATAAGACTGTGTATAGCCTACAGAGTTGGGCATTACATTGCTACATCGTGCTGAATGCAAAATGATGCTGATGAAATAGTGTATTTTTAATTATGTCATCACCCATATATAAGATATTTTGCTATGTAATACACTGATTTTTCACAGTGACTCCATGTACATTTTACACTTAAACTTTAAAACTTTAAATCACTTTATTTCCAGAACTTTTCATTTTCAATCCTATTACATAATTCAGTACTTTTAAATGTAATTTTAAAGTATGGCAACTATACTATTATCAACCCCACCTTTATCTCCTTCTCATGACCCCTTTATTACCCCAATTTATGACATACTGTTGCTACTTATCATTGATATATATGCACACACACTATATATGTGTACATATGCATACATGTGTATATATAGCCTTTTGAGTCTGCACTGTGCTGGTCATGTGTCCATGAGCCCACTGCCCATGTAGAACTAGACAACCCATGTGGGAACTTGTCCCTGGATGAAGCTGTTTCTTTTCTCATCAGCCATTGTCAATTATAGATCTTAATATAATGGTGAGAACCTGTGGATTTCCTTAGTCCATAGTTGCTTGGGCAGGCTTGATTATTAACAGCCACTTTTTTCCCCTTGATAATAGAACAGAACAGTAGAGTCTGCATCAAAGGATGAGTATATGTCAGCATATTCATGTTGAGAAGTTAAGATGTGGACAAGAGATGTGAAAAATGAAGAGTTTGAGAATGTGGTCATTATGGAAGCTTGAATGTAGCAGATAAATTCAGTCAATGCCAGAGGAAAATTGATCATGAAAGGCAATAGAATACCTATAATAATCAGAGAAGAATATGAGACTTAGATTGATTTTTTTTTACTGGTAGCTTTTAGATTATGCTTACATGATGTTAGAAAGGAAGCATTTGAGAGAATACAGTTATTCAGTTCCATTTGTATGTCCAAGCATAAGAAAACTTGATTCATTCCCCTTAAGTATTTCTGATGAGCTAACTGATTCAATTCATATCTTTACATGGAAAGAGGATGTTTTTCTTTCTGATTTCATTAAGAAATGCAATAAAGCTTTTAGAGTATTGTGTATCACATGCTGTGTAGACAGAATTCTGAGATATGAATTCTCATTTGTAACTGACAGATGCTTGTATTTGGGCAAATTACTTGGTTTTTCTTTGTCTAGATTGTAGCTTTATAAAATACCTAACTCATCTTGTGACTAACAGAACTGAAAATAGTTCAACACATTTACAGTAATTAAAATAATGAGAATAATGCACTGTAATTACACAGTCGATCCTGAAAATCCACTTCTTAGCATTGTTATTAAATTGTTTCCTTCATATAAGGAATTAAGCAATATTTTTCAAATGTATATTAGTCTTTGTAAAGTTTTATTTAAAAATTATTCTCATTTATTGCTATCTTTCAAAATGCAGATAACATTATGATCTTCTTATATAAGTAACAAGTAAGGTAGTTTAAATTTATATGCTTTCTATAAATAGTTAATAATTTAATATATTATTTTTATTTTATGTATTTATCATTTTCCTGATATTAATTTGTGTTTTTTTGTAGGTTTCGAAAGAAGACATCTAAGAAAAAACATAAGGTATTGTGAAAAGAATCAAAAGTACTTCTTTACTCACTGTGTTATATTAAAGGCAGTAAAATCTTACATAAACTCTAAGTAAAAATACATCATAAAACATAAAAATAAAGAAGTATAAAACGCCCCAAACCCATATATACCAGAATCTCAACACAAGTCCAAAGCAAGGGGAATGCCATGAGTGTGGGTCCTGATGACATATTGTGAGTTCTAGTCCATTGTGGAACACTGATAAAGACCATGTTTCAAAATACAAAGAAAATAAAATGTAAAGAGTATATGAAATGCTTTTGTCTAAAACCGCCTGTTTTGGAATTATGTTAAGAAAAAGTAGCTATTGAGAAAGTATATATTTTATTTTTAAATTCTACAGGGCAGCCAAGAGCAATAACAATAGACTGTAATGATTGGGGTCTATATCACCTCACTGGCCAACAACTCCAAAAGGAGAAACTCATTCCTGACACTCGGATTTTAAGCTGTTAGTTTCTGGTACATAGAAGGGGTGTTGTTGCCATATTATCAAGTGCTCCATTTTAATCTCTCTCTATATGGAAGCAACTAGTATGCTGTTAAATGGACATACTAATAATAACTCTTTGTTATGCTCACAGATCAGTGTGAGTTTTTTAGACCTTCATCTAAGAAGCTTCTGTTTGTGATTAACACAGTGACTCAAATCAGTCTATTGTTCAGTGAATAAGAGACTGCAGGGCTGGAGAGATGGCTCAGCTGTTAAAGGCTAGGGTCACAACCAAAAATATAAGAGACCACAGAATGCTCAACCTTACTGGGAACATAGGTATCTCAACCCCATTCCCAGTGCCCCACAGTCATTGCAGAAGAGGGTCAGAAAGGTGTAAGAGGCATAGGTGGTTGAGGGCTACAAGGAAACATTTTCTAATCACAGGAGGGCAGCTTCACATATGAATTCACAACAGTTGTAGAAACGTGTATAAGAACTTTGTGAGCCCAAGGCAGATCGAATCCAAACATGGAGAGTACAGTTAGGTATACAATCTCACTACTAGCTGTGATGCTACTGGCAGTCTCTAGTTGCTGGGACAGACAGATTCTTTTAAGAGAGTAGGCCCTGGTTGTTGAAGGTGGCACATACAAGGAAATTTGGGCAGCACAAGTTGATCTTGAACGATTAAGAATCAAGGATGCAAAGTTGGGTAGGTAGGGAAGGAGGGCGGGTCTGGGAAGTGTTGGGGGGAGGAGGTAAATATGATCAAAACACATAGTATGAAACACTTAAGGTGCTAATAAAAATGTATCAATTTTAAAAGATCTCTCCAGGGGCTTCTTTGGCTTTGCTCATATAAAACAAGTAATGGCTGACTTTGTACATTATGTGGTATGAATATCAAAGGCATTTTTTATAGTAGTATTTATCTTTTAGATAACAAAAGAAGTAAGAGCTATGGGTGACACAACTCAGTCATCTGAATCAGTCTCAGAGGATGGTAAGTTATTTAAATGCAAAAATACTTTAAAGTTAATTTTGTTAGAATATGTATGCTAATCAGTGTCTGGTCACTCTTCAGGGTTTTCACTATTCTAGACACTCCACATTCCTACAGAATCTTTTCTTCTTTCTCTTTTCCTCCCTTTCTTCCTGCCTTCCTTCTTTCTGTCCTTCCCTCCTTCCCATTTTTTCTTTATTGCATCAATGGGAGTGAAGTCTAGGTCCTGTGCATAGGCAAGTAATCTATCATGGAGCTACAGCTCTAACCTCCATATGAATTTATAGTCAGCATTTTTAATATTTTAAATATTAATAATGGATCTTTGGACTCCTCAACAAAATTTACCTCTTCATTTACATAAATTGGATTTAATTTTATCAGAAATATTTTCACCTAACCTTCATAGCCTGATAGATACCTTCTTAGTAAACCCAGGGCCTTGGGCAGTCTAGGTGAGGGCTCTTCCTCCCCCGAGACAGCCTCAGTGCCCCAAACTTTTAATTGGTTTTGGAGACAGCACTTTGTTGTCCTCAAACCTGGGACCCTTCTACGTTCAGTTCCCAAACACTGAGACTGTACAAACATTCTCACCTCCATCTCTTCCTCTTCCTCCTGCTTTTCTTCAATCCTTTCTTCTGTGTCTTGTCCTCAACTCCCTCTTGCAGCAGGGAGCTGGGGCTTTAGGAATACATTGTTTAAACTACCTGAAGTCCATTGTCTTGAAAGTTCCTTAAAGCATTGAATTTCATCTTTGTTTCAAGTACTAATGTTAATCAGGACCCTTTCTCCACATGAGGAGAGGCAGATCACAGTATTCTAGGTATTCTTGGTTGTAGACAGTCTAGAATCCTTTTTACCATCTGCCTGGCAGTTTCAGGCTCACACTCTTATTTTCCAACTTTGCCATTTGTTCTTCCAGGATATCTTCTTGTGCACACCCCAAATAACTTATTTGATCACAGAACCCTTGTGTTTTTTGTTTTTGCCTCAGATATCTGAATGGTCATTAATCTGTCTTTTCTATTGGACTTCACATTAAGAACATAGATCTAGTCTGTCCTTTTTACAGCATTTAATTCAACATAACGTGCACCATAGGCATTCAATGTACATCAGTTCAGAACATAAATGGAAAGAGGCCAAAATGTACAGATATTACTTTACACCGGCAAGGCATTAATATATTTATTTTATTTTGTCTCTTTTTCCCTTCATCCAGATTCTGGAAGCTCATTAAAAATACAAGACTCACTTAATCCATACAATTCATTAGTAGATCTTAAAAAAATCAATGAAGTACTTAGGGAAAAAAATCAAAAAATGGAAAATGAGAATACTGCTCTACAGAAGGAAATATCAGAAACAAGAGAGGAGAAATCAAAGTTACAAGATGAAATAGTGAAACGGGATGAAGAATTCTGGAACCTGAGGTATGACACCCTCCGTTGAGAGCTCTTTATGTTACAGATATGGAGGAGTCTTATAATTACTGTTTGTCCTTCAAAAGTTTTGCAGGAGAAAAATTCTGCCTCTTCTGGATCAAGAAATAGTTTGGGATAATAAAACAAATTGATAATCATGGGTATCACTAATAAGTATATACTCTTTAAAATACCAATTTTAATGTATGTGTAATGGACATCCTCTATATTGAAAGTTCACTATTTACCACATAGTATTGTGTGGCGTTTTTGTTGTATTGACTTAGAAATGAGTCAGCAAGGATTATCATTTGGATGAACAATTTTCTACACTCTTAATTGATTTACTTTTAATGAGTTCATCAATATAGAATCATGTATATAAAATATAGGTGATTTAAAATGTCTTTGATCAATATTTCTAAATTGTTTTTCAAGTAATCTTATGTCCATTCATAATTCTACCCACAGAACATGAAATGGTCATTTTAATATTTTGAAAACTTTTTCTTTAAGAAATGCACTTTTTTATTGGTGTGCTGAAGATGAAACTCAGGTCCTTCTGCATGCTAACCAAGACTAAAGGTTACACAAATAATAGGCTTATTCATCAAATAAAATGTAAAGTGGGAAACAATTACTGATTATTCAGCAGCACTTTCATATATAGATTTTAAAAAAGTTATGTTTATTTTTCAAGATAGGGTCTCACTGTGTATCTCTGGTTGGCCCAGAACACAGAGATCCACCTGCCTCTCTCTCCAGAACACTGGGTTTAAAAACACATGCTGTATAAAGTGAGGACATGACCACTCCCAGGTATGGCCTAGGAGAAGATTTTTATTGTAGATATGAGAGAGAGTATAGCCAGGGGCATCTGGATGAGTCCAGAGCATGGAGAGGAAGTGGTACACAGAACATGACCAGTGCCTGGAGAGGAGGGCTGGAGAGAAGAGTGGGAGAGAGGACCAAGGGAGGTGGGGCCGAGAGAGAGGGCAAAGAGAGAGAAGGAGTCAAGAGCTATAGCATATGGCTGAAATGACAGGATTATATGGGAGTAAGAAGGTAGGGGGAGAGAAACCCATGAGCTAGAGGAGTTTAGGGTAGCAGGTGTGGTGACAAGAACTGTGAAGAGGAGCCATGGGTACTGAGTGAGTCTGGAGACTATCATACACATTGGTACACTCATAGGTACCACAGTAAGCCATTTGCCCCAGGCTTCTATTGGACTGATACATGCCAGCATGTCTGCATGACTATTCCCTATTGAGAAAGCACATGATGTTTAATATTAGTTTAACCATTGTCTTGTTCTGCGTGGGACTCTTAAGTTTTTCATAAAATACATAGTAATCAACAAAGTAAGTTGAAATTGTTACAAACAAACAAGCAAGTGTAAAAAGCATTAAGTGAGGTTAGATGGTTTAATCTTTTTTCTTAACTTAAAAATTTTTGAGCTTATATTTACATTTCTCCATTTCCTTCCTTCCCTCTAAATCCTCCCATATACCCTTGCTTGCTCTCTTTCAAATTCATGGCCTATTTTTTATATTAACTGTCATTACCTGTATATATACATAATATACACATATAACAATATATTATAATCAATCATATGCATATACTTAATAAAATTTTCTCAGTCTGTATAATGTTTCACCTATTCTTAAGTTATGAAATTTGAAATATAAGGCTAGAAAGTAAAAGTATTTGACAACGTAATTTTGTTTTTGTTTTACATTTTTTCATACAGTTTATTATTATAATAATTAACCTATAAAGAGCAGTGTGAACACTGCATTTTCCAACAAACTTAATTTCATGATATGCACATTTAACTTCAGGTTTACTTTAAGAAAAGAACTCGAGGAGACAAGAAATATTCATTGCTTTTATAAAAATATTAAGAAGCATTTAAGTGAAAAAGAGAAACAATTCAATGAAAGAGTTGCCGTGACCCAGCTTGAGGTACATCTGAGAACACGAGATATGGAGCTCAAGAATGCAAGGGACTCCTTGAAGGAGGTAAACTAATCCCCACTCAACTTCACCAATACTATTTATACTAGGTTTTTCTTGAATTAATGTGTATGTTGTGTATAATGACATGAATATGGTCTGTTGAATTTACATCACCAGCCAAGTTCTCTTAATCATATACTTACAGAAATTAAAAAATCTGACATTATCAGTAGGCAAGGTAATATTATCACATATTTATACTATTCATGTATTTAAAGTTTATTTTCATTTTTAGCTTTTCTTTAAAAATTTATTTGTTTTATTTTAAAGATTGTAATATAAATAGATCATTTTCTCCTTCCCTTTCCTTTCTCCAAGTCTACCATATATTTCTCCCTACTTTCCTTTAAATTAATTGCTGTTACATGCATATATATATGTATGTGTGTGTGTGTGTGTGTGTGTGTGTGTGTGTGTGCGCGTGCGTGCGGTGTGTGTGTGTGTGTGTGTGTGTGTGTGTGTGTGTGTGTAGTTGTTTTTTCTTTGGACCATCATCTAGCTTCCAAATAAAGACATGGAGACTTATTATTAATTATGAATGCTCTGCCTTAACTTAGGCTTGTCCCACTAACTTTCAATTTACTCTAACCTGTTTCTATTCATCTATGTTTTGCCTTAGGGCTGTTTTTCCTTTTCTCATTCTGTACACCCTACTTTCCTACTTCTTCTGTCTGTCTGGTCTCTGTCATGGCATTTTCTTTCTCTCTTGATCCTAAATTCCTCCTTCTACTTCCTTTCCCTGCCTGGAAGTCCCACCTCTCCCTCCCTTGTTATTGGCCATTCAGCTTTATATTAGACAAAGCAGGTGACTTAGGCAGGCAAGGTAAAACAGCTGCATTATCTTTACATAATTAAACAAATGCAACACATCTTTACATAATTAAATATTCCATTATATATACGCACACAATACATGTACATATATATACACATATATACATACATATATCCCTAAATAGAACTGCTCCAACTGTATATTGTTACTTGTATTTTCAGAGCGGATTATTGGGCATTGAGTAACCACTTTGTGTGCTCTTCATTGGGGAAGACTGTTTCTGCCATGCTCAGTATTCCTTAGTTGCCTGTTGTTCTTAGTGTGAGGTTGAGGACTCTCAGGCTTTTCTCGGTCCATATTAGCATGTCCATTGTTGTTGTCACTGTTCACCTTGTAAGCAGTCATGTTGGTGAGACTTTCTGAGTATAGCTGCGACATTACTAGGAGACACAATCTAATAAACACTCTGGTCCTCTGGCTCTTACAATCTTTCCATCCCCTCTTCTGCAATGTTCCTTGACTTAGATGAGGGAGTTTCTTTGTAAGTGTATCTACTGGGACTGGTGCCACAACTCTGCATTTTTCTTGGTTGAGGTTTTCTGTAAATGAATATGTGAAAACCACAGAGATAGTTGCACATCCATGTTTATTATAGCACTCATTCACAATAACTTAGATATGGAACCAGGCTAGATGTCAATAAAGAGTTGGATGTGTAAAGAAATTGTGATGCATACACACAATAGAGTTTTATTGGGCTGTGAAGAATGAAATTGTGGAGAGGGGGAGATGGCTCAGTGGTTGAGGGCACTGATTGCTCTTCCAGAGGATACTGGTTCAATTGTAGCACCTCACAAATATCTGTAGCTCCAGTCCCAAAGGACCTGACATACATGCACCAATGAACATTAAAGAAAGAATGAAATTGTATCATTTTCAGGAAAATTAATAAAACTAGAGGTCATTATGCTAAGGGAAACCCAATTTAGCATGATAAATGTATATTTTCAGATTGTAAACATAGAACCTGCTATGCATGCATGCATGTGTTCTCTCTCTCTCTCTCACACACACCATTTTCCATGCTTTTCTATGTCTCTATCAGATAATATACAGTATACATTTAATAATAATGCATTTCAGTCTGATGGAAATGTCAAGACACATTTTTATGACAAGAGAGACAATAATACTTCAGACTTTGTAAGCTGCAATACTCAGCTGTCTGGGAAGTTTCAAAACCAAGGTTGCCCCAGCCAGCATGTTCAGGAAGGGGATCTATCTAGCTGGATTCCACAAGACTTCAGCACATTGTCAGTTAATGGCTAGTTTTATGATAGAATGTTAGTAAAATTATTTTCAATCTTTCTTAGTTGCAAGAAGCACAAGATCAACACATACAAGCTCTGAAAGCTGCCCGGAAGATGAAAGATCACTTACAGAGGTATAGTTTGAAGTAGATCTGACATGACCAGTGTTTATAATGAGTAAGAGGTGTGATGAGGAAGCATATCAGTTACGAGTTAGTGTACTGCTGTGAAGCTTGGGACATGTGCTTGAAGTCATTTGGAACACAGTTCAGGGTTTATGAAGTATCTCAGTGGTAGAGCATGTGCTCACATGATTGATAGTCTGGGTTGTTTCTCAAACAATACAAAACAGTAAAAAAATTAAGAATCATGTGGCTTTTATATTATGCCTAAATTTTGCTATGTTCTTACAAAATAGGACTGAAATTAGTTTATGAGGCTAACTATTTTAAAATATGTATTTTTAGGATTGAACTTGAACATTCTGAGTTAAAAGTTAAAGTAAAAGAGCAAGCTAAGAAAATTGAAGAGCTTCGTGGATGTCTGCAAAACTCGTGTGAAAAATTGGAACAAGATGAAAAATTGGTAGGTTGATCTCATTAATTTTTGTCGTATCAAAATGCATTTTCTTCCCCAGTAACATATGGTAATACTTCAGGGAATATATTAAATATCTCACTGAAAAGATAGTTGTTGTATTCTTATTGAAACTGCTTGCAACTACTAGTGATCAAGTCACCATGACTTCATGCAAGAAGCTCTTTAATAAAATTGATCGATGACTTTGGAAGTAGTTGACTATGACACAGAAAACATCTGTGGAACAAAGCTTTTATAAGGTCACATATATGCATACAGGAAGTATTGAGAAGGAAAGAGTTGATAATCTGTTCTTCACGGACAATTCCAGTATCACAAAAGTAAATAAGATGAAGTACACCAGTCAACATCCTAAAGATGTTCACTCTTCTTCACTGACCTGAACAGAGACAATTATGGAACTCGTGATAGAACTACTTCCAACGAAGAGTTTCTAGGAGTAAAGTGCTTAATGTCATGCTGTATTCTGGCAGCTTATTGAAGAAACATCTCACTGGAAGGAGTAATTTTCTTCCATATATCTGGGTGATCTGTATGGATGGAAATGTGGAAAGAATGTGAACATGGGGATCTTCTCCATAGACACAAGCTTGGAGGGTTGGCCAGGAAGTATTATGTCCCACTCATTTCACTTGAAGAGCAGCATGTTTGTTTTACTAAGAACTGTTTTAAATGATTTTAAAATTCTTTTTGGAGGTAAGGAAAATGAAGATTTATTAGGATATTCAGAACAGGCTCAGGGTGTACCTTAGTCATCAAGTACTTGTTAAGTATACACCAGGCCCTGTGTTCAGTCCCCCCACTGGAAAAATAAAACAAAACCCAGTCAACTCAAAGTTGTCTTTTGCTTTTAAAATCATATTGTTGAAAACAGATAAAAGTTGTAGTTTTTTAAAGCAAATGTTTCCAGCTCTTATTGTTGAAAGCAAAAATCCTCTCACTCAGTGTTTTTAACACGTCTAACTCTGTGAATCTGTTAGGTACATTTCCCTGCTTGTGGAAAATTGCAATCCCAGGGAGCCTTGCAAACCTCCATTAGTTGTTCTAATGTTGTTTTTTTTTTTTTTTTTTTATTAACAGTGCTCATCTTCAGTAAGTTAATGTCTCTGCTTACTGCATTTGACTTCAAAGGGCACTATCTGCAGTGTGCAAATTGTTTCTGGGTCATTTTAAGGCACCCCATTTTTTCTCTGATAGATCATCTAGAGGATCGTGATTTAAAATAGCTTATTTACCATCGTTCTTGGCTCCAGATGGGGATGTAGCAAATTGACCATAGTTCTAGCCTATGGCCTGGAAAATAAACTCCTCTCAATAAGCCATTTACAGCTCATATAATCAACACTCTGCTGGACTCCTATCACCCCCATCCCAGCTCTGCCCCTGAGTCCTCAGTAGGATGGAGAATGCAAGGTGCTGAGGGCAGCACCCATGGAAGTTTGAAGCTTCTCTCAGACTGTTCCCTGGCCTTGGAGTCATGTTCTAGTACTCTGTTGTGTGTGTGTGGTGGGGAGGAAGGGTTCTTCCTTTCCTGAGAGACAGCTTACAACAGGATGTTTTTCACCTTGAGCTTCCTCTCTATAGGACTCTCAAGGCACAACTGCAACCTTCATTCTGTCTTAGTGTCTCCTTAATGCAAGCTAGCAAGTGATACTTTGACCACATTTCTCTTTAAAATTTTGAGTCTACTGTGGAATTTTGGGATTTGAGTCATTCTTTTTTTTTTTAATTTATTTTATATAACTAAGTCCATTTAAATGAAAACAAACATTTACAGACAATATTTGGGAATTTGGGCGTCGTTCTTTCCAAAGTACTTCCTGCTGGTAAGGGGCACTGTCATGGGGAATTCTAAGAAGATGCAGAAATCCTGGCTGCTTATTCCAGCTGTTTTGAATGTAGGATCACCTGGTACTCTGTTTCAGGTGGTCTGGCTTGATCAAACCACATTAGTCTGGAAGGAATCCATGTCTTTTCATTTTCTGTGGAACTGGGTTCTAGTTCGACTCAGTGTTTATGTATGGGTGTTTGATCCTGTTTCCAACAGGCATTAGTTGAGGGCTCCATGGATAAGTTAGTTGTTGATCTCACTCTCTAGGAAGGGCATTTATGATAGCCTTTCCACGGAAGCTCAAATTGTTATTTGGCAGCAGTCTTGTAGTTCTCTTGTAGGTCTCTTGTAGACCTTTCTTTGTGTTCAATTTTATCTTCAAACCAATATTGGCCCCCTCTTTTATGTTCTCTCTCTCTCTCTCTCTCTCTCTCTCTCTCTCTCTCTCTCTCTCTCTCTCTCTTTCCTGTCTTCTATTCCTAACCAGGCTCAATCTTCCTGGTCGCACATGTTTTCCTTTCCTCCCCCTCATTTTCTCCTACTTTTCTCTCCATTCGCTGCCCCCCCCCCACTTCCCCTGAGCTCTGGGGGACTTGTCCCTTCCCAGTTCTGTGAGCAACTTTATATGAATCTCTTAGAATACACCTTGTATCCTAGTTCCTCTGGTGGTGTGAATTATAGGCTGGTGATCCTTTGATCTAGATCTAAAATCCATATTTAGAACATACTGTGTTCCTCTTTTTGTGACTGGGTACCTCATTCAGGATGGTTTCTTCAAGTGCCATCCACTGGCTGCAAATTTCAAGATACGGTTATTTTGTTCTGCAGAGTAGTATTCCATTGTGTAGATGTGCCACATCTTCATTATCCATTATTCAATTGAGGGGCATCTAGGTTGCTTCCAGGTTCTTGCTATTACAAATAGTGCTGCTATGAACATAGTTGAACAGATGTCTTTGTTGCATGGATGTGAATCCTTTGGGTATATGCCTAAGAGGGGGATTGCCAGGTCCTGTGGTAAACTAATTCCCATTTTCCTGAGGAACTGCCATACTGGTCTCCAAAATGGCTGTATGAGTTTGCACTCCCAATAGCAGTGGAGGAGTGTTCCCCTTTCTCCACATCCTCTCCAACATGAGTCATCATTGGTGTTTCTCATTTTAGCCATTTTGGCAGGTATCTCAAAGTTGTTTTGATTTGCATTTCCCTGTTAGCTAAGGATGTGGAACATTTTCTTAAGTGTCTTTCAGCCTTTTTGATTTCCTCCATTGAGAATTCTTTCTTCAGTTCTGTACTCCATTTTTTAATAGGGTTAATTGGTGTTTTGTTGACTAGTTTCTTGAGTTCTTAGTATATTTTGGAGATCAGCCCTTTGTCGGATATAGGATTGGTGAAAATCTTTTCCCAGTCTGTGGGCTGCCGTTTGGTCTTGTCCACTGTGTCCTTTGCCTTACAGAAGCTTCTAAGTTTGAAAAGGTCCCATTTATTAATTGTTTCTTTCAGTGTCTGTGCCCCTGGAGTTATGTTCAAGAAGCGGTCTCCTATACCAATTTGTTCAAGGGTACCTCCTACTTTCTCTTCTAAGAGGTTCAATGTGGCTGGATTGATGTTGAAGTCGTTGATCCATTTGGACTTGAGTTTTATGCATGGCGACAGACATGGGTCTATCTGCAGTGTTCTACACACCCTCATCCAATTGTGCTGTCCTTGCCCCATTGTATAATTTTAGCTGTTTTGTCAAAAATCAGGTGTTCATAGGTGTGTGGGTTAATATCAGGATTTTCAATTCGATTCCATTGGTCTACCTGTCTATTTTTATGCCAATACCAGGCTGTTTTCAGAACTATATCTCTGTAGTAGTGCTTAAAGCCAGGAAAGGTGATGCCTCCTGAAGTTGTTTTATTGTATAGGGTTGTTTTGGCTATCCTGGGTCTTTTGTTTTTCCATATAAAGTTGATTATTATCCTTTCAAAGTCAATGAAGAATTGTGGTGGGATTTTAATGGGGATTGCATTGAATCTGTAGATTGCTTTTGGCAAGATTGCCATTTTTACTATGTTTATCCTACCTATCCAAGAGCATGGGAGATCTTTCCATTTTCTGGTATCTTTAATTTCTTTCTTTAGAGCCACAAAGTTCTTATTATATAGGTCTTTTACTTGTTTGGTAAGCATTACACCAAGATACTTTATGTTGCTTGTGGCTATTGTAAAGGGTGATGTTTCTTGATTTCTTTCTCTGTCTCTTTGTCATCTGAAAAAAGTAGGGCTACTGATTTTTTTGAGTTTATCTTGTATCCTGCTAGTTTGCTGAAGGTGTTTATCAGGAGTTCCCTGGTAGAGTTTATTGGGTTGCTTATGTAAACTATCATATCATCTGCAAATAGAGACAGTTTGACTTCTTCCTTTCCAATTTGGATGCCCTTGATCTCCTTTTGTTGTCTTATAGCATTAGCTAGAACTTCTAGTACGATATTGAAGAGATATGGAGAGAGAGGGCAGCCTTGTCTTGTTCCTGATTTTAGAGGAATTGGCTTAAGTTTCTCTCCATTCAGTTTGATGTTGGCAGTTGGTTTGCTGTATATTGCTCTTATTATGTTTATCCCTGATCTGTTATCCCTGACCTCTCCAAGACCTTTATCTTGAAAGGGTGTTGAATTTTGTCGAAGGATTTTCCTGCATCTAGGGTGATAATCATATGGTTTTTCTTTTTCTGTTTGTTTATATGGTGGATCACGTTGATAGATTTTCGTCTGTTAAACCATCCCTGCATTCCAGGTATGAAGCCTACTTGGTCATGGTGGATGTTTTCTCTGATGTATTCTTGAATTCGGTTTGCCAGTATTTTATTGAGTATTTTTGCATCGATGTTCATCAGGGATATTGGTCTGTAGTATTCTTTCTTAGTTGTGTCTTTGTGAGGCTTGGGTACCAAGGTTATTGTGGCCTCATAAAAAGAGTTTGGCAATGAACCTTCTGTTTCTATTTTGTGGAACAGTTTAAAGAGTAGTGGTATTAGTTCTTCCTTGAATGCCTGGTAGAATTCTGCACTGAATACATCTGGCCCTGGACTTTTTTTGGTTGGAAGGCTTTCAATGACTGCTTCTATTTCATTGTGGGTTATAGGTCTATTTAAGTTGTTTGTCTGTTCTTGATTTAATTTTGGTAAGTAATAGGTATCCAGAAATTTGTCCATTTCCTTTGAATTTTCAATTTTTGTGGAATACAGATTTTCAAAGTATGACCTGAAAATTGTCTGGATTTCCTCAGTGTCTGTTGTTATGTTTCCCTTTTCATTTCTGATTTTGTTAATTTGCATGTTCTCTCTCTGCTTTTTCGTTAAGTTGGACAAAGGTTTGTCTATCTTGTTGATTTTCTCAAAAAACCAACTCTTCGTTGCATTGATTTTTTGTATTGTTTTCCTGGTTTCTATTTTGTTAATTTCAGCCCTCAAGTTGATTATTTCCTGGCGTCTACTCCTGCGGGTTAATTCGCTTCTCTCTGTTCTAAGGCTTTCTTTGCGCTGTTAATTCTCTTATGTGACTAGCCTCTATTTTCTTCATACGGGCACTTAGTGAAATGAACTTCCCTCGTAGCACTGCTTTCAAGGTGTCCCATAAATTCGGGTATGTTGTGTCTTCATTCTCATTGAATATCAGAAAGTCCTTAATTTCTTTCTTTATTTCTTCTTTGACACAGGAGTGGTGCAATTGCACATTGTTCAGTTTCCTTGAGTTTGCAGGTTTTCTGCTATTTGTTGTTGAATTCCAATTTTAAAGCATGGTGGTCTGATAAGATACAGGAGACTATTCCTATTCTCTTGTATCTGTTGAGGTTTGTTGGGCCACCTAGTATGTGGTCGATTTTAGAGAAGGTTCCACATGGAGCAGAGAAGAAGGTATATTCTTTTGTCTTTGGGTGGAATGTTCTATAGATGTCTGTTAACCCCAGTTGAGATATAACTTATGTTAGTTCTTTTGTTTCTTTGTTGAGTTTCTGATTTGTCGTCCTGTCTAGTGTTGAGAGTGGAGTATTGAAGTCTCCCACTATAAGTGTGTGAGGTTTTATATGAGCTTTGAGTTTTAGTAGTGTTTATTTTATGAATGTGGGTGCCTTTGTATTGGGGGCATAGATGTTCAGACCTGAGAATTTTTGTTGATGGATTTATCCTGTGATGAATATGAAATGACCCTCTTCATCTCTTTTGATTAATTTTGGTTTGAAGTATAACTTGTTAGATATTAGGATAGCACACCTGCTTGCTTATTATTTCCATTTGATTGGAAAATCTTTTCCCAACCCTTTACCCTGAGATAATGTCTAACTTTTAAACTTAGATGTGTTTCTTGTATGCAGCAGAAGGATGGATTCTGTCTTCATATCCATTCTGTTAGCCTGTGTCTTTTTATAGGTGAGTTAAGACCATTAATGTTGATGGTGAGTAAGGACCATTGATTGTTGATGCTTGTTTGATTTAGGTTTGTTGTTGGCAGTGGTATTGTGAATATATTATTTCTGCTTTACCCTTGGTTTCTGGTGTAGTTGGATTATCTGTTGCCTACATTTTTGTGGCTGTAGTTACCTTCCTTGGGTTGGAGTTTTCCTTCCAATAATTTCTGTAGGGCCGGATTTGTAGATACATATTGGGAAAATCTAGTTTTGTCATTAAATATCTTGTTTTCTCCATCTATAGTGATTGAGAGTTTTGCTGGATATAGTATCCTGGGCTGGCATCTGTGGTCTCTTAATACTTGTAGAACATCTATCCAGGTCCTTCTGGCCTTGAGGGTTTCAATGGAGAAGTCAGGTGTAATTTTTGATAGGTCTGCCTTTATATGTTACCTGGCCTTTTTCCTTCACTGCTCTTAATATTCTTTCTTTATTCTGTATGCTAGGTCTTTTGATTCTTATATGTCAAGGGGTCATTTTTCTTTGGTCCAGCCTATTTGGGGTTCGGTATGCTTCTTGTACTTTCATGGGCATGTCCTTCTTCAGATTTGGAAAGTTTTCCTCGATGGTTTTGTTGAATATGTTTTTGGCACCTTTGAGCTGGGCTTCCTCACCTTCCTCTGTGCCTCATATTCTTAGGTTTGGCCGTTTCATGGTGTCCCACATTTCCTGGATGTTTTGTGTTAAGGATTTGTTGGATTTATGATTTTCTTTGGTCGATGAATCTATTTCTTCTAGTTTGTCTTCTGCGCCTGAGATTCTCTCTTCCATCTCTTGAATTCTGTTGATTATGCTTGCATCTGCAGTCCCCGATTTTTTGCCCAATTTTTCTATTTCCAGCATTCCTTAGGTTTGTGTTGTCTTTATTTTCTCTATTTCAGTTTTCAAGTCTTGAACTGTTTCCTTCACCTGCTTAATTGTTTTTTCTTGGCTTTCTGTACTTTCCTTAAGGAATTTGTTCATTTCTTCCACTTTTTTGTTTGTTTTTTCCTCCATTTCTTTAAGGGATTTTCACACATCTTCTTTGAGGGCCTCTATCATTTTTATGATTGTAATTTTTAAGTCGTATCCTTCTGTTTCCTCTGCTTTGTTGTTGTGTTCCATTCTAGTTGGTGTAGATTCCCTAGATTCTGGTAGTGTCATGCTTGTCTTTCTGTTGTTAGGTGTTTTCTTGTATTGCCTTCTTCCCATAGCTTCTTCCAGTAGGTGTTGGTGGTGTCTCTTCCCTCTCTCTATGTTACTTCCCCGATGGGCTTATGTGGGTCTGAGATTCAATATCTGTAGCTCTGTGTGGTCCAAGCTCTCTAGGAGGTTTCTCCACAGACAGGGACCCAGGGATGGGGTCAAGGATGAGGATCCAGTAGAAGATGCCTGCAGAAACTCAGAGTGGTCCTGCAGAGATAGGCAGATCTCTGGGAGGGGCCCGGGTCTCCAGCAGAGGATGGAGGTGGGGTCAGAGACCAAGCAGGTGGAAATTATGGGTGGTCCCTCGTGGATAGTCAGGTCTCCTTTTTGCAGAGTTGCTCCGAGAGGTCTCCCAGTGCTCAACCAGAGCGGCAGGACCGTTGGCAGGGTAGGTTACAGGGGGGGCAGGCTCGCGATGGGGATGGGTGGGGGTGTATCAGAGCTCCAAGGGTGCTCTCGATGGGGACAGGAGACAGGAGCAGCAGGGGCAAACCCAGGGAGTTCGGGTGGGAGGGGAGAGGTTGCAGGGGAGAGGCAGCCCCGATTGGGCCCAGACTCACTTCTGGCCAATAGCTGGCAGAAGAGGACAAAGGCTGAGCTGAAACTTGGGAAGGTTTTTGCAGGATAGTGGGATCTCACTGGAAACTGGAACTCTTCAGCTGAGGCCTCTTTCTTTAGCAGAGGCCTGGATTTGGGGGCCAAGGATCTTGTGGGCATGAGCTCAGAATGGACCCGCAGAGATAGGCGGATCTCTGGGAGGGGCTCCATGCTCCAGCAGAGGACTGGAGGTGGGGTCTGAGACCAAGCAGGTGGAAATTAGGGGTGGTTCCATGTGGATAGGCAGGTCTCCTTTGTTCAGAGTTGCTCTGAGAAGTCTCTGAAGTAGGGTGGACTGTTGGCTCCACCCTCTGTCCCAGTGCTCAACCAGAGTGGCAGGACCATGGGTAGGGTAGGGCACAGGGTAGGGGAGTTAGGCTGGCCGTGGGGATGGGTGGGGGTGTATCAGAGCTCCAAGGGTGCTCTTGATAGGGACAGGAGACAAGAGCAGCAGGATCAGGGGCCAACCCAGGGAGTTCGGGGGGAAGGGGGAGAGGTTGTAGGTGAGAGGCAGCCCTGATTGGGCCCAGACTCACCTCTGGCCAATAGCTGGCAGAAGAGGACAAAGGCTGAGCTGAAACTTGGGAAGGTTTTGCAGGATAGTGGGATCTCACTGGAAACTGGAACTCTCCAGCTGAGTCTTCTTTCTTTAGCAGAGGCCTGGATTTGAGGGTCTGATTTGAGTCATTCTAACAGGTATCTTCATAGGTTTTTTTTAAAAACATAATTTTATATCTTAACTTATGTGTGTTTGTGTATATGATTGTGTGTTTTGTGGGTGTGTGCAAGTGAGACTAGCATCTTTGGAGTCTGAATATGGTGCCACCCAGTATGGACACTAGGAACCAAACTCAGGTCTGCAGCAGGAGTAGTATACACTCTCTATGACTGAGCCATTTCTCCAACCCCACAAATATTTTAGATTAGCAATTTGTTGTAGGCTGTCAATGAAGCTGTATTCAAATACACCTTAAAAAACCAATTAGGAAATGTAAAGCTTTATGAAGACATAACCTTTTGTTCTTATCTTAGAATATAAGAACCTTAGAAGAAGACCTTGGGTCTTATCTTAGAAGGCACTTATTTTAGCATTATTTGATAATTTGGTATGTGGAAATTCTACACATTAGAAATGCATACTTTTACACAACACATCCTGGTCTTTTGACAGCCTTTTCTGTAGCCTCTTTTTCAGTTCAGCTTTGCTTTGGCTGTGATACAACAATAGTCATTTTCCTGCCAATCTCTTTGAAGGACATGAATCTTTCAGAAAACACTACCTCCAAAGCCCATGCTTCTGTCATTTCTAGCCTGTTGCTTTGTGCTCTCATATTATCCTTAAATTAAATTCCCCATTATGGGAAGTTTTGAATTGAGCCCACAAATACTTGAATTGTCTGGTTACATGAGCGGTTGTGTAAGAGATTCCAGGAGGACCATTTAGCTCACTGATAAGCACTTTCCCAAGAAGATTTTAGTCCCCAGCCATATACACACAAATGTACAAAAATGAATGAAAATAGTTAAAAATCAGATTTACCATGATTGATACTGATACTTTTTAAATGTAAAAATTTTTATTTTTATTATTTTATGTTTATGCAAGTTTGCCTGTTTGTATGTTTGTGTACCATATGCATGCCTGGTGCCACAGAAGCCATAAAAAAACATTGGATCCCCTGGAACTGGAGTTAGGGATGGTTCTGAGTCACCATGTAGGTCCTGGACCAAAGCCTGGTCCTTAGAAAGAGCAGAATGTTATCCTAATCACTAAGTCATATTTCCAGTCCCCAATGATAAATATTTTAAAGAAGAATTTAAAACTTCTATTTGAATCATTTACTCAAAGTAAAGCTATAAAATGTATGGTAAATATTTGAATATTTTCTCTAAATATATCATTTCAATTTGCTTTAGACACAGGCTCAAGAAACTTCAGCGGAATTACACGAGAACACAATTCATCCCCCAATGAATGAGACAGGAATTCGAATCCAAAGTCTGCAGTCTGAACCCTCTCAGATGAAAACTTTACAAGAGTCAAATACAAGCGCTCTGAAAAGTTATGAGCAACAATGTATAGAAGAATTAAGGATTAGCAATGCATTGTTATATGAACGATACAAGTGAGTAAAACCAAAGAATTGCAGAAAATAGAGAAACCCCAGCTTCAGCCTGACCCCAGCTTTTCTGTAAGACAAAATTTACAGTGAAATAGTTATGAGATTAGTGGTTGTAAAAGTGAGCTAGCCAAAATAGTTTTGGAAAATAATCGTAGATGGTGCAATACTCACCTTCAAAATGTTATTCTAGAGTAGACTAATTATAGCCCCCCTTTTGACATGAGATTTTCTCCATTAATATTTTCACGTACTTTTTTGATGTAAGTTTGCTCATCAGCTTGCCAACAAATAGAAATAGTAAAAGTATGGGTATTTGAAACTAAAAGTTTGGAAATTTCCTTGAGATTTTCTTCTAACCTCCTAAACTTGTTTATTACTAGTATCCATCAAATTTTCTGTCATCTTAACTAGATATATTTAAAGAGTAAACTATATTTTGTTATTATAGCCATATATATTAACATACCCACATCCCCATGTTACTGCCTTTTGAATTAGAATATCTCTGATCCAGCATTAAGGTTTGTAGATGTAGGGTCCTCCCAGAGGGCAGCATTTTTACCTCCAAGCCTTTTCTTTGATAGCCTTTTCTCTACTATTTTTTTTTGTTTTGTTTTGCTTTGTTTTTCAAGACAGGGTTTTGGAGGCTGTCCTGGAACTAGCTCTGGTAGATCATGCTGGTTTCGAACTCACAGAGATCCACCTGCCTCTACCTCCATAGTGCTGGAATTAAAGGCGTGAGCCTGACTCTACTTCTGACATTGTTTGGTGTACTTGTTACCTCAGAATTTCTCTAGAAATACAAGGAATCCTTTAGAATGACTTGAAACCTGTCCATGGCAGGCATACTCCTGCACACTTTTCAGTGTTAAGGTTCTGTTTAATGGGGAAATTCTGTGCATTCTTGTGGTGCCTTTAAAATACAAAGACACATCTGTGGGTAGATGAGATACATATTATAGTGTACACTCTTTAAGTCTTTACAGGAATAGGAGGCTGAATGAATCCTGCACACAAGTTCACATCACCGTGGAGCAGGACACCCCTCTGAATACATTAGGAACAAGGTTTGCTCTTGAGAGTCCTTGTGTGGCAAGCACTTGCCCTTGCAGACCCTTCTTCCAGTGTGAAAACATGATTCTCCCAGGAAACCCAGGGTCTTCTAATGACTGCATGCAAAGCTACCCAATGACGGTATTGTCCTTTACTCTGTTTTCAGACTTGTGATAGAATCCCTGTTTTTAGTTTTCTGTGTCACCAAATTGGTCATTTAATGGGTATATTAAGTAAATGTACTATATGTGTCAATTATGATGGAAAGCAAAATATGCTTTTTTCTAAAGTGTATAGAATATGTGTTTTCACATTGGATTTAATAACTATAATGGAATAATGAGGTTTTAAAACATTGTTTAAAAGCTATACTTACATAGTTTCAAAGTAAATGTGACTGTGGGCACACTTTGAGGCATGTGGGGATGTTTCTGGGTGATTACAGCTTTATTGGTCTCTACAGAGCCTGGGTGTTTTCCCACAGATTTCCAGATCTGCACACTTATTGTGAGTGAATTACCAGCATCCAAACACTTCACCACTTATGTATGTTTATAATTTAAAGTAACCCAAAGTAATGCTTTTAATGTATGAACTACATCAAACAAAAACAAATGCAACTCTCAGAACTAAGTTTTTCTATTTTCTTAAACAGGAAGATATAATATCCTTAATTGTGATTTAACTTGAAACATGTTTGTATCAATTTTTAAATGTATATTGATGGCCCCACAGTTCTTGTTAGCATTCCAATAACTGTAAATAATATAATTAAGAAAATGCTTGCATTTTTTAAAGTAAAGTTTGTTCATGCCTCTGTATTTCACCCTCATTTGAATGACTGGTCACCAGTACCCACATGATGGGTCTCTGGGGATATAATGCCCTCTTTTGGCCTTCATGAGAACTGCACACACATGGTACACAGACAAACATGCAGTCAAAGTATCTATATACATAAAAATACATTTGAAAAATAACTCAGTAGATAAATAAGGAAAAATCACATGGTTTGCATCTCTCCTCAATTGTGTTTGGTTTATCACATTTATTAGATGTTTCTAAGCACATTCATCATAGTTTTAAGAAAGAAGGATGAGTCTCCGGTGTTTTAAAGCTATTTTGTATGCTTTTTTGAAGATGGAAGATGAGGAAAAATCAATCAAAGAACTTACTGAATTAAAACAATATTTAAAATATAATTTGTATCAGCAGAAGAAGAAAAATGATGAACTAGAAAAGGAGATCATCAGGTAAGATATTAGTATTGCAAATATTGTCAACCATTTATGTTAACTATTATATATATATTAACTATATTTGAAATAAGACCTAAATGTAAATTCATTTTATTTATGGTTTTCCATGAGAACTGTTTCTAAGCCTGCAAGATGGCTCAACACATAGAGGGGCTTACTGCCAGACACGGCAAGCCGAGGCATAGCTTGAGACTCACATGGTAAAAGGAGAGAACCAACTCCCAACACACACACACACACACACACACACACACACACACACACGCACACCACATTCTAAGGGTGAAACAGTTCAAACTAGCTGCATCTTAAGTTTCACTTTAGAAACCAACAAAATCTGAACCTTCCTTTTTTTTCCCTTCTTGAGGCAGGATCTCCTTTTCTAGTCCACAATTTTCTTGTCCTAGTTCCCCAAATGTGAAAATTTTTATTTTGTGCTTTCACAGCCTGGATGCTTTCAGAACATGAAAATATTCTGAAACATGATATTCTCCACCATTTTGAAAATTAGTATGCTGCCATCTTGGATGTGTGATGTCTTATCACTATACTTCATTAACCATGATATTTTATTTCTCACGTTATTCTTTATCTTTCTCTCATGTATGATTCCATCCAACATTAAACAAAGTAGTCTTTGCAGGGCTGCAATTGGAGCCAGCTGAGCAGCCCCATGTCCATACCTGAGTGGGGGGAGTGTGGATGAGGGAAAGGCTAGCTATAGATAATAAAGAAAGAGAGAGACAGAATAAAGGTCAGGAGGGCAGATCAGTCAATACTGAAATGCCACTAGTTTATTTTTTGCCACTCTTATATACCATAACCAAAAAGGGGAACACAGTATCATGTATATGGAACAAATAGTTTTTCTTCCTCCCTTATTCTAAGGGTTCAGTAACCATACCTTAGCTCTAAACTTCTTGTTTCCCTAGCCTTGAGGTCAGGAGTAGCCACACCTCAGATTCAACTTCTTCTTCCTTAGCCTTGACAGTCAGGAGTAGTCACACCTCAGATTCAGGTCTGTTATTATTTAGACTAAGATGGCTGAAACATCCTTCTGTAGCCACACCTTTGACCTTTAGGTCTTGTGACTTGCTGACAGCTTTGAATTCTGTCCTTGTGCCAAGATGGAGTGCAGCCATCTTTATGGGCACCCACAGTTTAGTATATAAAGCCTTTCTGATTACCTTTAATAATATAAATAAGTATCTGGATTAAGTTTGTATTTTCTTTATTGTTATAAAATCCTTTTCCATATTCAGTTTCACGCATACTCTCTCACACACACACGCAAACAGTAATAAATGAATAAAAATTTTTATAAAAGTATACATTTTCATTTCATAATTTTTGGTTGTGAGCCTTGCCTTTAACAGCTGAGCCATCTCTCCAGCCCTACATTTTATCTCTTTAGATATACTTTGGGTTAAAACTAATAATAAGTTGATGTTTTATAAAGTATGTGAAAATGGATAATAGTATTAATAAAAATCCTGTGAGGTGATCCTACATTCAAAACAGCTGGAATAAGCAGCCTTACAGACTACAGCCAGGATTTCTGAATCTTCTTCGAATCCCCTATGACAGTGCCCCTTACCAGCAGGAAGTAGTTTGGAAAGAACGATGCCCAAATTCCCAAATATTGTCTATAAATGTTTGTTTTCATTTAAATGGATTTGGTTATATAAAATAAATAAATTAATTAAAAAATCCTGTGAATATATATAAGTCAGTTATTTGACTGCTATATATATTATATTAAGTTTTATACTTTTTACCTATGATAATTAAATAAAATGTTTTCAAGAAAATTTAGATTAAATTTAGGTCATAATTTATAGATACATTTATTTCTGTATGAAATAATCTTAAGCAATTAAGTATGTGCTAATAAAACATATTATTTATTTGTTACATTCTTGCAGAATTAAGAAATTCTTGAAAATGAGAAAAATTGGACATGAAATTGGAGAATGTAGTTCTCACCGAAACTCAAGAACTGGTCATTTTTGAGACATGAGGTGAGTTTAAAGATCAAAGTTCACTTATTTTTTTATTTTTTGAAAAAAAATAACAAATCTCTCAGTGCTTTGAGCAATGAAATGACTGTTTGTAAGACAATTGCAGATTGAGTGATGGACAAAGCTTACCTTTTCTAACAGGATGACCCATGTGTCTATTTCTATGCCAGAGCAAAACTTAAGAGATTTAACATTAGAATCCTTCCCCACCAGGTTTGTGCACTGCTAGCCATCTTGCAGTAGTACAGTGTATGGTGGAGAATGTGGTGTTTGACTCATGTTGAGGCTTGTCTCCTCTTGAGTTTCTTTTCTGTCAACTATCACTTCCTTCTCCACTCTGATTTCTGTCAGTTCTTTGACATGGGATTTGCTAAGTCTGTGGACTGTTTCACTATGATGTACTAACCCATCATGATTCATAGGATCACTGGTAGGTTTTTCCTGGCTGCATCTTGTAGGCTTTCTAATACATTTCTTTCATTGTTAGCACTAAGTGTAAATCTGCGAAACTCAGGCTTAATTAGGAGAAGGGCCTTTGGGCAGGCATGCCTGGGGGTGGGTGTAGTGATCAGTGTGGGAAGACTCGCCATCATTGGCATCATCATTATCTAGGCTTAGAGATTCTGGACTGTGTAAATGTAGAGTGAGCTGAGCACCAGCATGTAAAGAGTATGTTTTCCCTGCCAGTCTGGTCCCACTGCCATGCCAGCCCCAAATAACACACAGAGACTCTGTATTAGATATAATTCTGTTGGCCTTTTACTAGAATTTTTTTTTTTTTTTTTTTTTTTTTTTTTTTTTTTTTTTTTTTTTTTTTTTTTGCATATAGAGTATTTTTTATTTAATTTTATATAACAAAGTCCAATTAAATGAAAACAAACATTTATACACAATATTTGGGAATTTGGGCGTCGTTCTTTCCAAACTACTTCCTGCTGGTAAGGGGCGCTGTCTTGGGGGGATTCGAAGAAGATTCAGATATCCTAGCTGTAGTCTGTAGGGCTGTTTTGTCCAGCTGTTTGGAATGTAGGATCAGCTTGTACTCTGTTTCAGGCGGTCTGGTGTGATCAAACCACATTAGTCTGGAAGGAATCCACATCTTTTCATTTTCTGTGGAAACAAAAATAGAAATACTTTTCCCCAGTAACTTGTTCTTCAACTTAAATTTTGGAGTCAAAGCGTTTTTTTTTTTTTTTTTTTTTATTATTATTATTATTTTACATGTCGATCCCAGTTCCCTCTCCCTCCCTCCCTCCCCTCCAGCCCTCCCTCCCTCCTTCCCTCCCTTTTGCCCTCTCTACCCTCTCCCATGCACTCTAAACACCCTCCCCTCCCAACCCCCCACCACAATACAATATGTAGGGGAATGCCATCCAGTTGGGGTCATGTAGATCTGACAGGTCCTGTGAAGTAGGGACTAGGGCTTCTCTCCTATCTCTAGAATAAGGCAGTTATCCCTCCATGGGGGATATGTTTGCAAAGTCCTTTTGTGCACCAGGGATACATCCTGGCTCCACTGTCTGAGGTCTCTTAGACTGCTCAGACCTTCTGGCTGAGACCCATATTCAGGGGAGTCCGAGTCAGACCTCTGTTGGCTTCCCAGCTATCAGTCTAGTGGCCCTTAGCTCCTCCTTGTTCAGGTAAGCTGTCTCTATGTACTTCTACCGCATGGTCTTGTCCTCTCCATCTGCTTCTGGGTTCTAGTTTGCTCCTGTTTTCAACAGGCATTAGTTGAGGACTCCATGGAGAAGTTAGTTGTTGATCTCACTCTCCGGGAAGGGCATTTATGATAGCCTTTCCACGGAAGCTGAGATTGTTATTTGGGAGCAGTCTTGTAGTTCCCTCGACCTTTCTTTGTGTTCAACTTTATCTTCAAACCAATATTGGCTCCCTCTTTTATGTTCTCTCTCTCTGTCTCTGTCTCTCTCTCTCTTTCCTATTTTCCATTCCTAACCAGGCTCAATCCTCCTAGTCACACATGCCTTCCTCTCCTCCCTCTCATTTTCTCCTACTTCTCTCTCCATTAGCTGTCCTCCCCCACTATACCTGAGGTCTGGGGGACTTGTCCCTTCCCAGTTCTGTGAGGGACTTTATATGAATCTCTTAGAATACAACTTGTATCCTAGTTCCTCTGGTGATGTGAATTATAGGCTGGTGATCATTTGATCTAGGTCTAAAATCCATATATGAGTGAGTACATACTGTGTTCCTCTTTTTGTGACTGGGTTACCTCATTCAGGATGGTTTCTTCAAGTGCCATCCACTTGCCTGCGAATTTCAAGATACCATTATTTTTTTCTGCAGAGTAGTATTCCATTGTGTAGATGTGCCACATCTTCATTAACCATTCTTCAATTGAAGGGCATCTAGGTTGCTTCCAGGTTCTTGCTATTACAAATAGTGCTGCTATGAACATAGTTGAACAGATGTCTTTGTTGCATTGATGTGAATCCTTTGGGTATATGCCTAAGAGGGGGATTGCCGGGTCCTGTGGTAAACTAATTCCCATTTTCCTGAGGAACCGCCATACTGATCTCCAAAGTGGCTGTATGAGTTTGCACTCCCACCAGCAGTGGAGGAGTGTTCCACTTTCTCCACATCCTCTCCAACATAAGTCATCACTGGTGTTTCTAATTTTAGCCATTCTGGCAGGGGTAAGATGGTATCTCAAAGTTGTTTTGATTTGCATTTCCCTGATAGCTAAGGATGTGGAGCATTTTCTTAAGTGTCTTTCAGCCTTTTTGATTTCCTCCATTGAGAATTCTTTCTTCAGTTCTGTACCCCATTTTTTAATAGGGTTATTTGGTGTTTTGTTGACTAGTTTCTTGAGTTCTTTGTATATTTTGGAGATCAGCCCTTTGTCGGATATAGGATTAGTGAAAATCTTTTCCCAGTCAGTGGGCTGCCGTTTGGTCTTGTCAACTGTGTCCTTTGCCTTACAGAAGCTTCTAAGTTTGAAGAGGTCCCATTTATTAATTGTTTCTTTCAGTGTCTGTGCCCCTGGAGTTATGTTCAAGAAGCGGTCTCCTATACCAATTTGTTCAAGGGTACCTCCTACTTTCTCTTCTAAGAGGTTCAATGTGGCTGGATTGATGTTGAGGTCTTTGATCCATTTGGACTTGAGTTTTGTGCATGGCGACAGACATGGGTCTATCTGCAGTCTTCTACACACCCTCATCCAATTGTGCCAGCACCATTTGTTGAAGATGCTGTCTTTGCCCCATTGTATCATTTTAGCTGTTTTGTCGAAAATCAGGTGTTCATAGGTGCATGGATTAATATCAGGATTTTCAATTCGATTCCATTGGTCTACCTGTCTATTTTTATGCCAATACCAGGCTGTTTTCAGAACTATAGCTCTGTAGTAGAGCTTAAAGTCAGGAATGGTGATGCCTCCTGATGTTCTTTTATTGTATAGGGTTGTTTTGGCTATCCTGGGTCTTTTGTTTTTCCATATAAAGTTAATTATTATCCTTTCAAGGTCGGTGAAGAATTGTGGTGGGATTTTAATGGGGATTGCATTGAATCTGTAGATTGCTTTTGGTAAGATTGCCATTTTTACTATGTTTATCCTACCTATCCAAGAGCATGGGAGGTCTTTCCATTTTCTGGTATCTTCTTTAATTTCTTTCTTTAGAGTCACAAAGTTCTTATTATATAGATCTTTTACTTGTTTGGTAAGCGTTACACCAAGATACTTTATGTTGCTTGTGGCTATTGTAAAGGGTGATGTTTCTCTGATTTCTTTCTCTGCCTCTTTGTCGTCTGAAAAAAATAGGGCTACTGATTTTTTTGAGTTTATCTTGTATCCTGCTAGTTTGCTGAAGGTGTTTATCAGCTGTAGGAGTTCCCTGGTAGAGTTTATTGGGTCGCTTATGTAAACTATCATATCATCTGCAAATAGAGACAGTTTGACTTCTTCCTTTCCAATTTGGATGCCCTTGATCTCCTTTTGTTGTCTTATAGCATTAGCTAGAACTTCTAGTACGATATTGAAGAGATATGGAGAGAGAGGACAGCCTTGTCTTGTTCCTGATTTTAGAGGAATTGGCTTAAGTTTCTCTCCATTCAGTTTGATGTTGGCAGTTGGTTTGCTGTATATTGCTCTTATTATGTTTAGGTATGTTCCTGTTATCCCTGACCTCTCTAATACCTTTATCATGAAAGGGTGTTGAATTTTATCGAAGGCTTTTTCTGCATCTAGGGAGATAATCATATGGTTTTTCTTTTTCAGTTTGTTTATATGGTGGATCACGTTGATAGATTTTCGTATGTTAAACCATCCCTGCAATCCAGGTATGAAGCCTACTTGATCATGGTGGATGATTTCTCTGATGTATTTTTGAATTCGGTTTGCCATTATTTTATTGAGTATTTTTGCATCGATGTTCATCAGGGATATTGGTCTGTAGTTTTCTTTCTTAGTTGTGTCTTTGTGAGGTTTGGGTACCAAAGTTATTGTGGCCTCATAAAAAGAGATTGGCAATAAACCTTCTGTTTCTATCTTGTGGAACAGTTTGAGGAGTAGTGGTATTAGTTCTTCCTTGAATGTCTGGTAGAATTCTGCACTGAATCCATCTGGCCCTGGACTTTTTTTCCTTGGAAGGCTTTCGATGACTGCTTCTATTTCATTTCGGGTTATAGGTCTATTTAAGTTGTTTGTCTGTTCTTGATTTAATTTTGGTAAGTGATAGTTATCCAGAAACTTGTCCATTTCCTTTGAATTTTCAATTTTTGTGGAATACAGATTTTCGAAGTATGACCTGAAAATTGTCTGGATTTCCTCTGTGTCTGTTGTTATGTTCCCCATTTCATTTCTGATTTTGTTAATTTGCATGTTCTGTCTCTGCTTTTTCGTTAATTTGGATAAAGGTTTATCAATCTTGTTGATTTTCTCAAAAAACCAACTCTTTGTTGCATTGATTTTTTGTATTGTTTTCCTGGTTTCTATTTTGTTGATTTCAGCCCTCAAGTTGATTATTTCCTGGCGTCTGCTCCTGC